TTGAATTTCAATAAAGTTAAAGGCATGGCCTCACCGTTAATATTTAAAAAAAAAAAAAAAAAAAAAAAAAAAAAAAAAAGAAATTTAATACAATTTTTTCCTATAAGTATATTTCTATTGTAGAAATTTTGTGTGCAGAAGTAGATTAGGAGTTGCTTATTATAATAAGCATGTTCTTTTGTTGCATCAAAGTTAAGCTAAATGCAAAGATCATTCCTTGTTACAAAGAAAGCAGCATTCCTCTATTCAGTTGAACTAATCTGTTTGTTACCAAGAATTCTTGATTGTAGAGCAGATTTTTAAATATCAGTAAGTTTTTCATTTCATATATTTTTAAGAAGTTCAGTGTAGAAGAGATCATTGAGTTAACATATAGGCTTTTTTAAGTTAATCACATGTTTAACAGTTAACCAAAGATTTCTTCCTGTTGTATTAGTAACAGATTGATTATTAATTGATGAGAGGTCAATATTACATTTTATTTTTGTGTATTTTGATAAATTTTCAAATTGATTATAACATTGTGAGTTAAGAATAGAAGAAATAAGAGTAATTTTATTTGGTACATATAGAGTGAGGTCTAATACAGAGGGCAATTGTATAAAATCGCTGACAAATAATATGTTTAATTTAGCAAATGGGGTCAAATCATCAGTTGCTTTTAATTTTTTTATAAATGTATGAAATTGAGCAAGAAGACTTTGACTGATTATAGAAATCTCATCTATTATAACATATTCTATCTTAGACCATGTTTCTTGAAGCTGATGTAAAGATTCTTCAGATAAAATAGTAGTATTTTTGCTATTTTTACTAAAGCCAAGTTTGCATGCAGAATGAATAGTACTTCTACATATATTAGTTGCAGCAATTCCAGTTGGTGCTAGTATAATAAGCGGTATAGTGTTGAAGAGTATGTTTGAAATAAGCATCGATGGATTGGATGACCCTAGATTTACCTGTCTCTCCTGAACCAGAAAGATAAAGTAATAATTGTGTTGGTTTATGATTCAATATTTGATTTTTTTGGTGACGATCACATACAAGAAAATAGACTTTTCTTTGTTCTTCATTTAAGCTGATTGCAAAATGCTCAAGAGGATCGACAATTTGTTCAGAGGTAGTAATATTTAGAGAAATAGTTTGTTGATTATTATTTATATTGGTATTTAATGATGTATCATTTTCATATATATTATGAATTTTATGTTGGCAAAATAGTTTTTGAGATGTTATTGTATTTTGCCAAATTTTAAGAAGTTGGTCATTATAAACATTGCTCATAATTATGTTGTTTAATCTAAGATTGTTAACATCGAATGATTCATTTAAGTTTGTCGAAGGAGAGCAATTTTTAACAGTAAATCTTTTTCTAAGTCATAACATATTCATAATATTATCAACCATCTTGACATCTTTTAAACTGGCTCTAATAATCATAGCAGGATCAAATATAGTTATTTTTTCAGATATATTAATTTCTAAATCTTTATTTAAAAGGTTATTTTGATCGTCAGCATTGTACCCCGAAACAGAACAATTAATATGTTAAGCTTTGGCAGAAATCAGGTTATTAATAGCATTTTTTCCCAGTTCACAGTCTAAAACAGTTTCTTCTAAACATTTATATAATAATTCCATATTTGATATTATATAATTTATGTGTCATGATGTAGTAGGACTAATTATGAAAGCTTGACATGCTTCGGCCCATGAACTATAGTTTTTTTGAAGGTCTTGGACAGTCTTTCATGGTTTAAATAGTATAAGAATATATAAGCTATAATGTCCAAAATTTTCGATATTATCTTTTTTAGATATCCCCTTACCACATAGCATAATTATTCTTTCAGTTCTATGTAATTTACATAATTAAATATGAGTTTTATTCTGAGGATGTATATTGTTTAAATTAGATATGAGATTATTGTGATCTTGAAAAAAAAAACGTTCATTTCCTTCTCTTAGAGATTGACCAGATAGCATTTTAAGTTCATATAGATTGATAGGAATTTTTTAAATATTAGAGGCATAATCATAGAGGCAAATATTGCACAACAATAAACCCCTAAAACAGTAATCAACATGAAGATTTATAGTGGTTAATTTATTATAATAAGATGTTATTATAAATGATTCATTTAATGTATTTTGTTCATTTTGGCTATCAATGTTATTCAAATTATTCAGATCATCTAAGTTTTCAGTAAGGTTATATAATCAGTTTTCCCATTCTCTTATAAGATAAGATTCAAATGATTGAAGATATATTAATGTAAATTTGGATGGGTTGTAATGATTATTAATTCCTAGTAGATATGCAGAAACTTGTAGGCTTGTGAGTTCTACTTGGCCTATTATTTTGTTAAGACATTTGGTCACAAGTTTGTGAGATTTGTTTACAATATCGAGTAAAATTTCATCTGAGGCTTGTATTAAAAAATTTTCTATAGTGGTAGCACATATTAAGAAGAAATTATGCATGTTAAGATCTGATTTAGTGATGTAATCAGTGATATAATAAATGTATGCTAGAGCTAGTTTACAGGTTGAAATAAATTTAATATCATTATTTTCTCTGCATGCAGCAGTTATATATGGATTATGATTATTGATCAAAGCATTAACACATTGAACAGCTATGATATCTTGATCAGACAAAATTAATACAGAAGGAGTTGAGAGAAAATGTGATGACAAGAGTGCAAAATGGATGAATGTTGAAGCAATGGTATACAAGATTCTTGGATAAGAAAAATAAGTTGAGAGCAAGGTTGGAAAATTATAAAAAGAATTTGAGAAAATTGAGGGCAGAAGAAAGAAGAAGGGAAGAGAATAATGGTAGTAGAGATAGATTGTCAGGTGTTGGATTTTAGATTG